TTTATGAGTCAGTGGGGAGATGTGGGGTGGGACTGAGTCATTTTTATGGGTCAGTGAGTAATATATTTTTAAAAATATCATGAGGCATGCGTTTTTAAAACAAGTTATCATGAGGCGTGGGTGGGACTGAGTAATTTATATGAGGAGATGAGTAATTTATAAGAAAGGTATTTAGAAAGATCATTATGAGGCGTGAGTTATTTTCGAAGGTTATTATGAGGGATGACTTATTTAGGAAGGATATAATGAGGCATGAGTTATTTACACAGGTTGTTATGAGGCGTGAGTAATTTACAAGAGATTGTCATGAGACATGAGGTATTTAGAAAGGATATGATGAGGCGTGAGCTGTTAAGGAAGGTTATTTTGAGGTGTGAGTCATTTAGAAACGATATGATGAAGCATGAGTTACTGAGAAAGGTATGAGGCATGAGTTATTTAGAAAGGTATGAGGCATGAGTTGTTTAGAAAGGTACGTGGCATGAGTTACTTAGAAAGGTATGTGGCATGAGTTTTTTAGAAAGGTATGAGGCATGAGTTACTTAGAAAGGCATGTGGCATGAGTTATTTAGAAAGGTATGTGGCATATGATTATTTGAAAGGTTATGTGGCATGAGTTGTTTAGAAAGGTATGTGGCATGAGATATGTACTTATTTAGAAAGGTATGTGGCATGAGTTATTTAGAAAGGTAATGGCATGAGTTTTTAGAAAGGTATGTGTGGCATGAGTTGGTTTAGAAAGGTGGCATTGAGTTTATTTAGAGGTATGTGGCATGAGTTTATTAGAAAGGTATGTGGCATAGTTTGTTTAGAAAGGTAGTGCATGAGTTGTTTAGAAAGGTATGTGGTGAGTTGTTAGAAAGGTATTGGCATGAGTTATTTAGAAAGGTATGAGGGCATGAGTTGTTTGAAAGGTAATGAGGCATGAGTTGTTTAGAAAGGTATGAGGCATGAGTTATTTAGAAAGGTATGAGGCATGAGTTATTTAGAAAGGTACGTGGCATGAGTTATTTAGAAAGGTATGAGGCATGAGTTGTTTAGAAAGGTATGTGGCATGAGTTGTTTAGAAAGGTATGTGGCATGAGTTATTTAGAAAGGTGCATGAGTTATTTAGAAGGATGTGGCATGAGTTTGCATGAGTTAGAAAGGTATGAAGGCAATGAGTACTTAGAAGTAGGTAGTGGCAAATGAGTTGTTAGAAAAGGTATGTGGCAATGAGTTAGCTTAAAGAAAGGTATGTGGCATGAGTTGTTTGAGGAAAGGTGAATGTGGCATGAGTTACTTAGAAAGGTTAGTGGGCATGAGTTGTTTAGAAAGGTATGTGGCATGAGTTTACTTAGAAAGTAAGTGTGGCATGAGTTTTTTAGAAAAGGTATGTGGCACTGAGTTACTTAGAAGGTATGTGGCATGAGTGTTTAGAAAGGTATGTGGCATGAGTTACTTAGAAAGGTAAGAAGAAGGTATGTGGCATGAGTTGTTTAGAAAGGTATGTGGCATGAGTTATTTAGAAAGGTATGTGGCATGAGTTACTTAGAAAGGTATGTGGCATGAGTTGTTTAGAAAGGTGCGTGGCATGAGTTTGTTTAGAAAGTATGTGGCATGAGTTTTTTTAGAAAGCTTGGCATGAGGTATGTGGCATTTAACAAAGGTATGTGGCATGAGTTATTTAGAAAGGTATGTGGCATGAGTTATTTAGAAAGGCTATGGCATGAGTTTTTTAGAAAGGTATGAGGCATGAGTTGTTTAGAAAGGTATGTGGCATGAGTTACTTAGAAAGGTATGTGGCATGAGTTATTTAGAAAGGTATGTGGCATGAGTTTAGAAAGGTACTTGAGTTAAAGAAGGTATGGTGGCATGAGTTACTTAGAAAGGTATGTGCATGAGTTACTTAGGGTATATGTTATTGAGAAGGTATGTGGCATGAGTTATTTGAAAGGTATGTGGCATGAGTTACTAGAAAGGTAATGTGGCATGAGTCATTTAGAAAGGTATGAGGCATGAGTTTACTTTTAGAAACTTGAGTTGTTTAGAAAGGTATGGGCATGAGTGAAAGGTATGATGAGTTACTTAGAAGGTGCGTGGCATGAGTTACTTAGAAAGGTATGTGGCAATGAGTTATTAGAAAGGGTACGTGCATGAGTTATTTAGAAAGGTAATGTGGCATGAGTTACTTAGAAAGGTATGTGGCATCATGAGTTATTAGAAAGGTCATTCATGAGTTACTTAGAAAGTATGTGGCATGAGTTGTTTAGAAAGGTATGTGCATGAGTTATTTAGAGTACGTGAGTTATAGAAAGGTATGTGTGAGTTACTTTAGAAAGGTATGTGCATGAAGAAAGGTATATGAGTTAGAAGGTAGTGGCACATGAGTTGTTTAGAAAGGTATGAGGCATGAGTTACTTAGAAAGGTATGTGGCATGAGTTATTTAGAAAGGTATGTGGCATGAGTTGTTTAGAAAGGTATGTGGCATGAGTTGTTTAGAAAGGTATGTGGCATGAGTTATTTAGAAAGGTATGAGGCATGAGTTGTTAAGAAAGGGTATTATAAGTTATTTAGAAAGTTTTTTTCATTATGTATTAGAAAATTGTGGTTTAATAGGTTGATCGTGAATAAATAACATTCACTGATAAAGTTAATAGTGACCTTGTAACCGAGTAATTGTTAAAATCAGTCATATGTAAATCACAGAGTCATTCAAAAAGTTCAAGAGCAACTAAGTCCTTGAGTCTCTGATAAAGTCAAATTGAGCAAATAAGTCATTGGTGAAATGTATAATTTGATGAATCAGCTGATAAGACTAATCTGATTTTTTTCTGACAGTCAGCTGATAAAACCCGAAGACAAGAACTTAAACACTCGAAAGCCCTTTATAACTATCAAAAAATATATATATATATATATATATATATATATATATATATATATATATATATATATATAATATATATATATATGTGTGTGTGTGTGTGTGTGTGTGTGTGTGTGTGTGTGTGTGTGTGTGTGTGTGTGTGTGTGTGTGTGTGTGTAAAATATAAAACAAATCAAATACACATCTTCACGAGGTGATAGGCCTACATACGAATCCTCCTCCTTCCCCTCCACCCTCCCTCCCTCCTCTGTTTCCCCCCCCCCCCCTTCCCTTCTCTCCTCTCTCTCTCTCTCTCTCTCTCTCTCTCTCTCTCTCTCTCTCTCTTCTCTCTCTCTCTCTCTCTCTCTCCTCTCTCTCTCTCTCTCTCCTCTCTCTCTCTCTCTCTTCTCTCTCTCTCTCTCTCTCCCTCCCCTCCCCTCCCTCCCTCCATTCCCGCGTTCGAACCCTTGCTCGCACTCCATTGACTTATCTCCTTGTCATCCCTAATTCTCTTCGTCCTCCCAGATATCGAACTGATCCTCGCCACATCCACGAATTGGGAAGAACTGCGCCATGCGTGGGTCGAATGGCGGGAAAATACCGGGAAACTGATGAGGGACGATTTTATTCGCTTCGTTGAGCTCTCGAACAAGGCGGCGACGCTGGACGGTGAGGATAACCTTTTATTGTTGTTTGTCGTGGGTGATTTTATTGGTTTCCTCTTATTGCCGTGTTATAATTTTCACCATTGTTGTTTTATGGTTATTGTTGTTATTATATTTCATTATTATCATTATTATATTATTATCATTATTATTATCATCGTTTTTATTATTATCAATATTATTATTATATTATTACTATTATTGTTTTATTGCTTTAAGATTATTTTAAAGACCACTATTATAACATTTTGCACTAGACTTTGCTGACGTTACAATATTCGATAATGCAAATACAAAAACACAATATGGGTAATAATTATGAAACCAAAAAAAAAAAAAAAAAAAAAAAAAAATCGTTTCCAGTTGAGAACAAGGAAAATAACCATTTTGTGAAATTATCATAAAAATTACTTAATTTTTGTTCTTCCCTTCCTTTCATTATTCTTTTCTATGGACGGGTATGTTCGTTTACTCGAAACCTGGTGGATTTGTTTTTATTAATCTTACCTTTTTTATCATTTCCTCTTTAAGAAGTATGACTTACTTGATATGTACGATATCACTGCCCTTACAACAGACATATTTTAATGTTCTCATAAATATTGATATTATAACTTTTGTCACAATTGCCAATTAGGTTATTCCGTTGTATCAGTATCATTACAGTCTTTATAGTAATTCATCAATACATTTCCTCTTACCTCTGGCAGGCTTCGACAACACGGGCTCCTATTGGCTGAATGGCTACACGGTCACCCAACGAGAAGCCGACAAGTACACAGGCGGCCAGCCATTGGACCAACAGCAGTTCAAGGCGATGGCCGAAGAAGCGTGGCAGACGGTGCGTGGGCGTTGACTTGGTTGGCGTTGAAGGAGGAAGGCTGGATCAGTAGCAACTCGAGGTGTCATGACGGATGCCCTGGGGAATTTTCAAAAAAGAAAAGAATGATTTTAATGGTTATGTTTTCATTGAACGATCATCAAAATATCCCTCCTCCTCGAGTTGCTGCTGATCCAGCCTTCCCCGGCGTTGAAGTGGCGTGGTCTCCTTAAATGATCATGGAACTTCGAATTCACTGGGTGTTGAAGAGCAGTGGTTTCAAAGGCACTGCAGAGGTCCGGGCTTCAGTGGGTGTTGAAGAGAGTGGTTTCTTTATACGATCACCGGACTTGAAATGAAGATGGGGGCATTGCAGAGGTCGGGGCTGGGTGTTGAAGAGAGTGGTTTCAAAGGCATTGCAGAGGTCGGGGCTTCAGTGGGTGTTGAAGAGAGTGGTTTCAAAGGCACTGCAGAGGTCCGGGCTTCAGTGGGTGTTGAAGAGAGTGGTTTCAAAGGCATTGCAGAGGTCCGGGCTTCAGTGGGTGTTGAAGAGAGTGGTTTCAAAGGCACTGCAGAGGTCCGGGCTTCAGTGGGTGTTGAAGAGAGTGGTTTCAAAGGCATGCAGAGGTTTCAGTGGGTGTTGAAGAGAGTGGTTTCAAAGGCACTGCAGAGGTCCGGGCTTCAGTGGGTGTTGAAGAGAGTGGTTTCAAAGGCACTGCAGGCCGGGCTTCAGTGGTGTTGAAGAGAGTGGTTTCAAAGGCACTGCAGAGGTCCGGGCTTCAGTGGGTGTTGAAGAGAGTGGTTTCAAAGGCACTGCAGAGGTCCGGCGTGCACTGCAGAGGTCTTTCAGTGGGTGTTGAAGAGAGTGGTTTCAAAGGCAAGAATTCAGTGGGTGTTGAAGAGAGTGGTTTCTTTATACGATCACCGGACTTGAAATGAATTGGCGAAGTCAGCCTCGGCAAATCTCACTGAACAGAGAATTAACTAGTTGTTGAAGTGCCTTAGTTTCAGAGGCCTAGAAGGGGTCCAGGCTTCAGGAAATGTTGATGAGATGTGTAGTAGCAGTCTTCGTAGTCATCGATGGTTTTAGAGGATTTCAGGGAATGCTTTCAGCGTGACAGGAGTGTGGCTTTGTTGATCATTGGAGGGGCGTGGTGTCAGCGAGGGTTGGATGGCTTCGCTGGTCATTGAAGGGGCGTGGCTTCAGTGAGATTTCAGAAGATTATGAAGTAATATGTACTGAATGGAATGAATAGGCGTTTGTTTGAAGAGGAAGATAACTGAAATTCAGAATGCCTGATACACGATATGTAGGAAAATATTAGAAATTAGTGTATTCGTTTTTGGATTGCATTGTTATAATGGTGATAACAATTTGAGTGCATTGTTAGGACTGGTAGAGTGTTAGTTGTTAAATAAGTTAATGGGAGTGTTTACAGGCCTCAGGAACATCCTTTAAAAATCTTTAATAAATCTAAGGCCTTAAAAAGTCTAAAAAAAAAACGGAACTTTTTCTGTCGGTCTTAAAATGTCGTAAAATTGACCGAAGTATATCTTTATTCACTTAAATCATTTGTCAACATTATACCTTGATTTTTGCAGATCGACGCGACCGTTTACTCATGGATTATGGGAAGAAAAAAAATATATAATTCTGTTCGCAATCTATCCGCCAGTCTGTGTAAAAAATCATGGGGTGATTTTTTTTTTTTTTTTTTTTTTTTTTTTTTTTTTTTTTTTGTTACTGACGCGACAAGTATGCCTACACATTATGGTGAAGTGTGTATTTAGGGACAAATGGCTCTAGGTTTTAAAGAGTAGTTGGTATGAGTCTTAAAACAGTCTTAAGAAGGTCTTACACCTCATCAGCTTTTACTTGCAAGAATCCTGGTTAAGAGACTGTAATTTGAAAAGTCTAAGCATACAAAAAGTGTCACAGCTGTTAGATGTGCCATATGAATTGTATAGGTATTATTTATAAGAGTATGTTGGCAGCAGTCTTTGGTTACATTAATGAAACATTTAAGGTGTCAGAGAAATGATAAGGTGTCGCTGAGGGCTTTTATTAGTTGTATTAATGAGCTTTGAGATATTGTGAAAGGAAAACTCAGCATGTATGTCATTTTGTTATTGGACGGAAATGATTTTAAAAAACATACCGAATGATTTACGTAATTCCAGGTCAACTATCTTTCGTGTATAAGGAAGTAAATCAATGGTTTCCTTACTTTGGTGTGAATTATTATTATTATTAAAGATATATTTGTAACTAGTAAGCCACATCCGAGTCAGGTGCCGGTCCCAAGCCTGGATAAGCGGGGCAGGTGGTGTCAGGAAGGTCATCCGGCCAAGAAAATGAATACGTATTAAAGATGCCAATTATAGGGCATACTAGAGCAGATAGGAAGATGCGTTAGTCTCATCATGAATAGTATGATGTTTCGATTGACTCACATTTGGTTAATTCAGATATGTTAGATTGGTGATTGGAAATCCAAATGATTTTATGGTTGAGATTGAATCGTTAAAAAAAAAAAAAAATTATCCCAATTTTCCTTTTTTTCATATTCTCTCTATCTCTATCTCTCTCCTTCAGTCCCCTCCTCCCTCCTCCCTCCTCCCCTCTCTCTTCACATGTCTACCTATTAATCTCCCTCTTTTTTATTAGTCTTTCTCTCCCTTCTTCCCTTTCCTTCGTCTTTATCTCTTTTTCATCACCCTTTCAAGATGTCTCCTCTCCCTCTCCCTTCTGCTCGGCCATCACCTCTCATCTCTCCTCCTCCTTTCCTCCTTCCTTTTCCTTTTCTTCATTCTCCTCCCCTCTCCCCTCTCCCCCCTTCCACCTCTCCCCTCTCCCTATCTCATCTTCTCTCTCCCTCCCTTTTCATCCTGTCTCCCTTTTCTCCCCTCTATACTATCCCCCTCTATCCCCCCTTTTTTACCTCCTTGCTCTCCCTCTCCTCATATCATCCTCTCTCCCTCTTCCCATCTCTCATCCCCTCCCCTCTTTACCTCCCTCTCTCCCCTCTCCCCAACTTTACATCCCTCTCTTCCCACTCCCTATCTCACATCCCCTCTCCCTCTCTCCCCTTTCCCATCTCATCCTCTCTCTCCCTCTCCCCTCTTTACCTCTCCAACTTTACCTCCTCCCCCCCCATCTCATCCTCTCTCCCTCTCTCTCTATCTCTCCATCTCTCCTTTCTACCTCCTCTCTCTCCATCTCATCCTCTCCCTCTCTCCCGTCTCTCATCCCCTCTCCCCCCTCTCCCATCTTTACCTCCCTTTCCCTTCTCCCCATCCCATCCTCTCTCTCTCTCTCCCTCTCTCCCCAACTTTACCTCCCTCTCTCCTCTCCCTCTCTCCTCCTCCCCCTTCCACCTCCTCTCATCCCTCTCCACTCTCCCCCTATTCTCCTCTCCTCCCCCCCCATCTCATCCCCTCTCTCCCCTCTCCCCTCCCTCTCTCCCATCTCTCATCCCCTCTCTCTCCTCCTTTCTACTCCCCCTCTCTCTTCCTCACCCCTCCCCCTCTCCCTTCTCCTCTCCCTCTCTCTCTCTCTCCCTCTCCCCTTTACCTCCCTCTCTCCCCATCTCATCCCCTCTCATCCTATCCCTTTCTACCTCCCCCTCTCTCCCCTCTCTCTTAAATCCCTCTCTCCCCATCTCTCGCACCCCCTCTCCCTCTCTTCCTATCTCCTTTTACCTCCCCCTCTCTCTCCTGTCACACCCCTCCCTCTCCCCTCTCCCCACCTCTCATCATCTTCCCCCTCTCCTCTTTACCTCCCTCTCTCCCTATCTCCTTTCTACTCCCCCTCTCTCTCCCTCACCCCTCTCTCTGTCATACCCTCTCACCCATCTCCCCTCTCCTCCTCTCTCCCTCCCTCACTCTCTCCTCTCCCCCTCTCCTATGCCCTCTCTCCCTCTCTACCTCCTCCCTCTCCCCTCTCCCTCGCTCTGCCCTCTCCTCTTTACCTCCCTCTCTCCCCATCTCATCCCCACTCCCCCTCACCCCTCTCGTCCCTCTCTCTCCCCCTCACCCCTCTCCCCCTCTCCCCTCATGCCCTCTCCCCTCCTCCCCTCTCCTCCCCTCTCCCCATCTCTCATCCCTCTCCTCTTTACCTCTCTCTCCCTCTCCTCTCTCTCCCTACCCTCCCTCTCTCTCCCCTCTCTCTATCCCCTTTCCCTCCCCTCTCTCTCCCTCCCTCTCCCCCTCTCTCCCTCTCTCCCTGCTCCCTCTCCTCTCCCCTCTCTCCCTCTCCCTCATCTCCTCTCTCTCCCCTCTCTCACCCCTCTCTCCCTATCTCCTCTCTCTCTCCTCCCTCACCCCTCTCTCCCTCCCTCACCCTTCTCCCCTCTCCTCCTCCCTCTCTCCCCATCTTATCCCCACATCCCCCTCTCCCCTCTCCCCTCTCTCACGCCCTCTCTCTCCCCTCCCCCCTATCTCCTCTACCTCTCCCTCTCCCTCTACGTCTCCCCTCACCTCTCTCACGCCCTCTCTCCCTCCTCCTCCCAGGTATCTGAAGGACTCTACAAGAAGCTGCACTCCTACGTCAGGATGAGGCTCTCTGACGTGTACCCGGGCCAGGTAGATCCTACGGGGCCCATCCCAGCTCACATCCTCGGTACGGTGTTGATGGTGTTGTGGTCGGCTGTGGTGTTGTGATTTTTTAAGGTGGTGTGGTTGGTGTGGTGTTGGTGTTGTGATTTTTTAAGGTGTGATTGGGTGTAGTTGGTATGGTGTTGATGGTGTTGTGGTCGGCTGTGGTGTTGTCCTTTTTTAAGGTGGTGTTGGTGTGTGTTGTGTTGTGATTTTTAAGGTGTGATTGGGTGTGGTTGGTATGGTGTTGGTGGTGTAGTTTTTTAAGGTGTGATTGGGTGTGGTTGGTATGTTTGGTATGGTGTCGGTGTGTTGATGGTGTTGTGATCGGCTGTGGTGTTGTCATTTTTAAGGTGTTGTGATTGGGTGTAGTTGGTATGCTTGGTATGGTGTTGATGGTGTTGGTGTTGTAATTTCTAAGGTGTGATTGGGTGTGGTTGGTATGTTTGGTATGGTGTCGGTGTGTTGATGGTGTATTTTTTAAAGGTGTGATTGGGTGTGGTTGGTATGCTTGGTATGGTGTCGGTGCTGTGGATGCATATACCATATACCCGTCGGTATGGTTGGTATAGTGTCGATATTGTAAATTCTTGTACCATATACCCGTCCATGCGTTTGTTATGGTGTCAGTGACGTTGCTGTAAATGTGTATCTCAACTCATATCCTCGTTATGGTGTTGGTCGTGGTGTTGGTGGTATTGTCGGTGTTATTAGCGTGGTTATTGTTGGTATTAATGTGGTGTTGTACATATAGGTTTCATCGTCCATCCACGGTATGGTGTTGTGGGTGGCTGTGATGTTGACATTGTTATTATTCTGGTGTTGTTTTTCTTGTTGTTACGGTGTTGTTGTTTTTGTTGTTATTGTTTTTGTTGTTTGGTGTTGCTATTGTTGTTGTTTTTGTTGTTCTGGTGTTGTTTTTCTTGTTGTTACGGTGTTGCTGTTGTTATTGTTTTTTGTTGTTTGGTGTTGCTATTGTTGTTGTTTTTGTTGTTGTTCTGGTGTTGTTTTTGCTTTTGTGGGTTGATTGGTGATGTGTTTTGTTATTGTATCTTTTCTTCGTTTTGTTGTAAATGCTTTTGTTTTTGTTATTATTTTGTCGTTGTTTCATTCTTTTGCTCTATGTGTGTTTTTTTTTTGTCACTTTTACTTTTATCACCAGCACTATCAAAGAATTTGTTCGTTTTGTTGTAAATGCTTTTGTTTTTGTTATTATTTTGTCGTTGTTTCATTCTTTTGAATCACTTTCATTGTCACATTTCTTTATTCATTTTTATTTAATTTTTATTGCTGTTAGTATTCATGATTTTTTTTTGTCATATTTCTTCTCAAATAAAATCTTTTTAATTGCTGCGCCTACAACTGTTATAATTGTTCTTGTCCTTTCGATCTTGTTATTGCCAGGTTGTTCTTGTTATGACTGTTCTTACTTTCTGTTATGGTTTTGTTCTTATTGTTCCTATCATCACTATCTTTGTGTCGATAGTAATAATCATAATAATGATTGATAAATGATTTATCACCGATGTCAGTATTATTATCGATTTTTTTTATTATCTTTGTCGCTGTTTTGATTTTGGATATACTTATATTTTTTTCTTTCTTTCTTTCTTTTTGTTCTCTTCCGTGTCTCTTTTTATTTCCTTCTCCATCTTCAATGTCCTTTTCCTTCTCCTAATCATTATTTTCCTTGCTTTTGTTTTTCGTTTTTTTTCTTTTTCTTATTTACTGCATCTTCTTTTTCTGTCTGTTTCTTCTTCATATACTTCTTCCTTTTCACTTCCTTCATCCTCCATATTCTTCTTCGTCCTATTTTCATCTCTATTTGCACTTCTTTCTTCTTCTCCCTATCCTTCCTCCATTTTCACATTCCTCTTCCTTCTCCATCTTCTTCTTCCTCGTCCTATTTCCTTCTCCTTTTTCCCTTTCCCTCTTCCTTCTCCTTCCTCTTTCTCCCACTTCCGTCTCCTCATCTTCCTTTCTAACGTCTCCTTCTCTTACGCCATTTCATCCCTCGCATGACCTCTCTTGACCCCTGAATGACCTCTCTTGACCTCTGACCTTTGACCCGACAGGTAACATGTGGGCACAGGACTGGTCCAACATTGCCCGTCACGTGATGCCCTTCCCCGAGATGCCCTCTTTTGATGTCACCGAAAGCATGGTCAAAAATGTAAGTTTTTTTTTTATTTCTTTTTCTTTTTTTCTTTTCTCTCTTTCTTTCTTCTTCTCTTGTGTACTACGTCGTTTTTTGGATTGTAAGGCAAAATATTTTTTTTTCTATTGCAAAATGTATGTTTTTTTTCATTGTTTTTTCCAATTATTTACTTTTTTTATGCAAGGAATGTTTAATTTGTCTAATTCTGTGCCAATACATATCTAAATTCTAGAGCCAAGAAAAAGAAACTTAATTCCAGGGCAAAAATGTATTTTCTACACTCGTCTAATAATGTACACTCACACGCACGCACATACATACACATATATATATTTTTTGGGTCATTTCCATATCAGGTCATGATAGTTTCACCCACCATCTGAAACTTGGCATAATTGAGACCTCGCCCCCCCCCCTCCAATACCCCTTATATTTTGTGTCTGATTTTCATCAAAATTCAAAACTTAATGGGTCAGCAGAGGCTATCACAGTCAACATCTGCATTCCGATGTAGTCAAGTATGTAGATTTCAAAAAAATAGGGCAGGCACTGTTTTAACTCTCACAGGTTATGCCCTACACTGTTTGCAAGAGGCAGTGCATCATCTCCTCCAATAGTAGTGGTTTGCACATGTTGCCTTCCATATGAGGACAAGCCCATGAATAATCTTGACAGCGTTTGAAGACAGATAAAATGAAGAACTGTGACGAATTGGGCTTGGGGCTGCAGTCCTTCATATGTAAACTGCCCTCCTCCCCCCCAAAAAAAAAATAAAAAAAAACCCATACATTTTACATCAAATTCTGAAAATGTTATGAACAAACGGAAAAGAGATCACAGGGTAGGTCAACATTAGTGTCCAAATTTTGCATTAGTTCCTTTTAACATCCTTTAGTGCTTTCTGGGTGAGGCTTCAGGGACCCATTATGTCTGGATGTGTACTATGTGCCAAATTATAAGGATCTTGCTTAATTAACCCAGCTGGCGAAAGTATTGCAAATTTGTACGAGGTTATTGCGTGCAGTCCTGGAAGTAAAGAATGCATGGTACACGAGTGTGCGAATTGCCCAAATATGTCAGATTATCATGTGCCAATTCTGAGTTCGTGGGTTTATATTCATATTTTTTTTCCCGATGATTTGATGTGGAATGACCTTTCTCTCTCTGTCTCTCTCTCTCTCTCTCTCTCTCTCTCTCTCTCTCTCTCTCTCTCTCTCTCGTCTCTCCTCTCTCTCTCTCTCTCTCTCTCTCTCTCTCTCTCTCTCTCTCTCTCTCTCTCTCTCTCTCTCTCTCTCTCTCTCTCTCTCTCTCTCTCTCTCTCTCTCTCTCTCTCTCTCTCTCTCTCTCTCTCTCTCTCTCTCTCTCTCTCTCTCTCTCTCTCTCTCTCTTCTCTCCTCTCTCTCTCTCTCTCTCTCTCTCTCTCTCTCTCTCTCTCTCTCTCTCTCTCTCTCTCTCTCCTCTCTCTCTCTCCTCTCTCTCCTCTCTCTCTCTCTCTCTCTCTCTCTCTCTCTCTCTCTCTCTGTCCCTCTTCTCTCTCTCTCTCTCTCTCTCTCTCTCTCTCTCTCTCTTCTCTCTCTCTCTCTCTCTCTCTCTCTCTCTCTCTCTCTCTCTCTCTCTCTCTCTCTCTCTCTCTTCCCTCCTTCCCCTCTCTCTCTCTCTCTCTTTTTTTTCTTTTTTTTATACTAACCCCCTCGCCCCCCTCTCTCTCCTCGCCAGGGTTGGGACATCCAGCGCATGTTCGATTCCGCCGAGGACTTCTTCACGAGCATCGGCCTTTTCCCCATGACGCCCACCTTCTGGGGCAAGAGCGTGCTCAACCAGACAGCGTGGGGCCGGACCATCGTCTGCCACGCGTCGGCGGAGGACTTCTGTCTCGGACCGACGGGAGACTATAGGTGTGGGTCGGGGGGGGAGGGTTGGGAGGGGGGGGGTGGGGAGGGGGGGGGTGGGGATGGGGTGGGGGCTGGAGGGGGATGGGGTGGGGGTTGGGGCTGGTAAGAGGGGATGGAGGGGTGGGGAGGAGGATGGGGGGATGGGTTGGGGGTAGGATGTGGGAATGCGTGTGTGTGTGTGTGTGTGTGTGTGTTGTTGTTGTCCTCCTCTTCCTCCCCTTCCTTCTTTCCTCCTCTCCTCCCTCCTCCCCCTCCTCCTCCCTCCTTCTTTCCCACCTCCCTTCCTCCTCTTTTTTTTCTTTCCTCCTCTTCCTCTCCCTCTCCCTGTCCTTCTTCTCCTTCCGCCTTCCCTCCTCCTTCTCCTTATTCTCCCCACTTCCTCCTCCTACCCCTCCCTTTCCCCTTCCTCCTCCTACCCCTCCCTTTCCCCTTCCTCCTCCTCTTTCCTTTGCCCCTTCTTCCCAACTCATCCCCATAGATAAAGGGAAAAAGGGGAAAAATTTGGTTCCCTTCCTGTCTATCGGTCTTTCATCGAGTACTTCCTCCTCCTTCCCCTCTTCCCCCTTCCTCCTTCCTCCTCCTCCTTTCTCTTCGCCTCCTCCTCCTCCTCCTTCTTCTTCTTCTTCTTCTTCTTCTTCTTCTTCTTCTTCTTCTTCTTCTCCTCTCCTCCTCGTCCTCCTTCCCTCCTCCCCCTCCTCCTTTTCTTCTTCCTCCTCCTCCCCCTCCTCCTCCTCCCTCTCCTCCTCCCCTTCCTCCCCATTTCCTCCTCCTCCTACTACTACTACAACTACCGCTCCTCCTCCTTCTCCTCCTCCCCCTCCTCTTACCCACCAACCCTCCAACCCCCTCTCCCTCCTATTCCCTCCTTCTTCCCCACTCACCAGTAAAAAATATTCCTCACAGATCAATAATGAAAATAAGATAAAACAATTCCAAGTAAATAAATAAAAACAATAAATTGGTAACATAACACTTCCAAATAGATAAATAATTTTAAAAAAAGATAATAATATAACACTCCCAGATAAATAAACAAGCAATAAGAAATAAGATATAACGAATCTAACAATATAACACTTCACAATGAATGAATCAACAATTTAAAAAAGATACAACAAATCCAAATAAACAAATAAAAAATAAGAGAAATGTTAAAAGTCTTCCCTCTTCCCTTCCAGATAAACAAAAAAAATCCAAATAAAACAATAAGAAAATTTTAAAAGTCTTCCCCTCTTCCCTTCCAGATAAACAAATAAACAAATAAACAAATAAACAACAAGAGCAATTTTAAAAGTCTTCCCTCTTCCCTTCCAGATAAACAAATAAACAATAAACAAATAAACAATAAGAGAAATTTTAAAAGTCTTCCCTCTTCCCTTCCAGATAAACAAATAAACAATAAACAAAAACAAATAAACAAAAAACAAATCCAAATAAACAATAAGAAAAAATTTAAAAGTTCCCTCTTCCCTTCCAGATAAACAAATAAACAATAAGAGATTTTAAAAGTCTTCCCTCTTCCCTTCCAGAGATAAACAAATAAACAATAAACAAATAAACAATAAGAGAAATTTTAAAAGTCTTCCCTCTTCCCTTCCAGATAAACAAATAAACAATAAACAAATCCAAATAAACAATAAGAGAAATTTTAAAAGTCTTCCCTCTTCCCTTCCAGATAAACAAATAAACAAATACAAATAAACAATAAGAATAGAATTAAAAGTCTTCCCTCTTCCCTTCCAGAGATAAACAAATAAACAATAAACAAATAAACAACAAGAGCAATTTTAAAAGTGTTCCCTCTTCCCTTCCAGAATCAAGATGTGCACAGAGGTCAACATGGTGGACCTCGTGACGGTGCACCACGAGATGGGTCACATCGAGTACTTCATGGCTTATAAGAACCTGCCTCATGTCTTCAGGGACTCGGCTAACCCAGGTGGGAATCTGTTGTTGTTGTTGTTGTTGTTTTGCGTGTGTGGTTGTTTGTTTGTTTGGCTGTCTGTCTCGCTCTTTTTTTTCCCTCTCTCTCTCTCCGTCTGACTATCTGTCTATCTCTATATGTCTATCTCTATTTTTTTTCATCTCTCTCTCTTTCTTTCTCTTTCTCTTTCTCTTTTTCTCTCTTTCTCTTTCTCTCTCTCTTTCTCTCTCTCTTTCTCTCTCTCTCTCTCTCTCTCTCTCTCTCTCTCTCTCTCTCTCTCTCTCTCTCTCTCTCTCCTCTCTCTCTCTCTCTCTCTCTCTCTCTCTCTTTCTCTCTTTCTTTCTCTTCTCTCTCTTTCTCTTCTCTCTCCTCTCTCTCTCTCTCTCTCTCTCTCTCTCTCTCTCTCTCTCTCTCTCTCTCTCATCTCTCCTCTCTCTCTCTCTCTTTCTCTTTCTCTTCTCTGTTCTTTTTCTCTCTCTCTCTGCTTTCTTATTCTCTTCCTTCTGTACTATCTTTCTTTATTGATGCTATTTTTTAATGATTTGATAATAATCAATGAAATATATATATATATGTATATATATATATATATATATATATATATATATATATATATATATATAATATATATATATATATATATATATAAATGATATTCTTGTATTTTGGAGTTTTTCCCTACCCTATCATCACCCTCCTACACTATTATTATCCTTCCCCTTCTTCCATCTTTATCCGTCCCTCTCTTCCTTCTCCTCTCTCTCTCCCTCCTTTCCTCCCCTCCCTTGCTACCCACTTTCTAACACTCCTTTACCTCTCCCTCTTTCACCCCCTTCCTCTCCCTCAGTCACCCCTCCCTCTAAGTCCTCCCTCCTCTCCTTCGCCCTTCCTCCTCTCCTTCTACGCCTTCCCTCCTTCACCTTTTCCTTTCCTCCATCCCATCTTACACCCTTCTCTCCTCCCTCACTCTTTCTCCCTCTTCCTCCCCATCTTTTGCCTCTCCCTCTCCTTCCTTCCTCTTCATCTCCCTCTCTCCTCCCTCCCATATCAACCCTCCTATCCTCTTCTCCCTCCCAATTTCCCTCTCCCTCTCCTCCCTCCCAATCTCACCCTCCCTTGCCTCTCCCATCTTACTCTCTCTCTCTCCCTTCTCCTCTTTCCCAATCTCCCTCTCCCTCTCCTCCTTCTCCTATCTTACTCTCTCTCCCTCCCTCTCCTTCTCCTCCCTTCCCCTCCCTGCCTCCCAATTTCACCCTCCCCCTCTCATCCCTCCCAATCTCCTTCTCCCTGCCTCCCAGTCTCCCCAATTTCCCTCTCCCTCTTCTCCCTCTCACTCCCTCCAATCTCCCCTCTCCCCCCCTCCTCCTCCCAATCCCCCTCCCCTCCTCCCAATCTCCCCCTCTCTCTCCCCAATCTCACCCTCCCCCTCTCATCCCTCCCAATCTCCCTCTCCCTCTCTCATCCCTCCCTCTTCTTCCTCTCACTCTCTCCCAATCTCCCCCTCCCCCTTCATCCCTCCCAATCTCACCCTCCCTCTCCCTGCCTCCAAGTCTCCCAATTTCCCTCTCCCTCTTCTCCCTCCACTCCCTCCCAATCTCCCCCTCTCCCTCCTCCTCCCAATCTCCCCCTCTCTCTCTCCCAATCTCACCCTCCCCCTCTCATCCCTCCCAATCTCCCTCTCCCCTCTCTCATCCCTCCCTCTTCTTCCTCTCACTCTCCCCAATCTCCCTCCCCCTCTCCCCCCCCAATCTCCCAATTTCCCCTCTCCCTCTTCTCCCTCTCACTCTCTCCCAATCTCACCCTCCCCCTCTCCCTCCTCCTCCCCCTCCCCCTCCCAACCTCCCCCTCCCCCTCCCAACCTCCCCCTCCCCCTCCCCTCCCCCCCCCCTCCCCCTCCTCCTCCTCCCTCTTCTCCCCCTCTCCCCTCCCAATCTCACCCTCTCCCTCTCTCCCAATCTCACCCTCCCACTCCCTCCTCCTCCTCCCTCAGGTTTCCACGAGGCGATCGGCGACCTCATCTCCCTCTCGGTGTCCACGCCCACCCATCTCGAAGACGTCTTGGGACTCACGCCCACGAGGAGGAGCCGCCCGCGAGACGATTCCTCGGAGGAGAAGGAACTCAGCGACGAGGAAAAGAGGGATCTCAATTTCCTCATGAAGATGGCGCTGGAGAAGGTAGGACGGAGGGGGGAGGGAGAGGGAGGGAGAGGGAGAGAGGAGGAGGAGGAGGAGAGGAGGAGAGGGGAGGATTGGTAGGAGGAGGGAGAGGAGGAGAGGAGGAGGGAGGGGGAGGGAGAGGAGGAGGAGGTGAGAGGGAAGGATGGTAGGAGGAGGGAGAGGGAGGAGGAGGAGGAGAGAGGAGGGGAAGAAAGGGGAAGAAGGTGAGGAAGGGGAGGGAGGAGAAGAGAGGAGGGAGGAGGGAGAGAGGGAGGAAGGAGGAGGGAGAAAGGAAGGGGATAGGGGGAAGGAGGAAGGAAGGGGAGGAGGAGGAGGAGGAGGAGAAGAGGGAGGATTAGGAGAAGGAGGAAGGAGGGGAGAGAGAGGGAGGGGAGGAGGGAGAGAGGAGGAGGAGGGGTTTAGGAGGAAGGTAGGAAGGATGGGGAGAGAGAGGGAGGATTAGAGGAGTGGAGAGAGGAGGAGGAGGGGGAGGAGGATTAGGAGAAGGTAGAAGGATGGGGAGAGAGAGGGAGGATTAGGAGTGGAGAGAGGGAGGAGAGGGAGAGAGGATTAGGAGATGGAAGAGGAAGAGGAGGGGAGAGAGAGAGAGGAGAAGAGGAAGAGAGAGAGAGGAGAGGAGGGAGGGAGAGGAAGAAGGAGGAGGAGGAGAAAAGGGGAAGGGTAAGAAGGGGAGAGAGAGAGGGAAAAGGAAAGAGTTATAGGGAGTACATGGGAAGAGTAGAGAGAAGGAGGAGGAAAGAGAATAGAGGAAGGGAAAGGGAGCAGATAAATGGGGGATAGGGGGGAAGGAGGGAAGGTAGAGATGGAGAAGAGGATAAAGGTGAGAGGAAAGAGGTACAGAAGGAGACGAGGAAGAGAGGTGGAAGAGAAGGAGGAGGAAGTAGGAGAAGGAAGAGGAGGAGATGAATCACTAGGAGTGAAAAAGGGAGAATGGAAAGGAGGAATAGAGAGAAAGGGGAAAAGGGGTATATAGGAGACCTGGGGGGAACAAACCACCATCTCCAACATCACCATTTCTCCCCCACCACCTCCCCTCCTACCCCATCATCACCCCCACCTACCATCACCACCCCCTTACCTTCACCCCCCCCACTACTTTTTTCCCTTACCCCACCCGCCACCACCACCTTTTCACCCCCCCCTACTTTTCAACCACCACCTTTTTCACCCCGACCTTTTCACCCCCCACCCCTACCACCACCACCTATCCCCCCACCCCCCCCCCACCACCAAACACCCGAAACTCACCCCCCCACCAACCCCACCCCCCCCCCCAACCCACCCCCACCACCAAACACCCGAAAACTCACCCCCCCCCCACCTCCCCCCCACCCCCCCCCCCACCCCCTCACCCACCCACCCCCCACCACCACCCCTCACCCCTCCTCCCCCAACCCCACCCAACCCACCCCCACCAAACCAAACACACGAAACTCACCCCTCTCTCTCCCCCTTCCTCCTCCTCCCCCCCCAACCCCAGATCGCCTTCCTCCCCTTCGGCTACCTCATCGACAAGTACCGCTGGGGAGTCTTCGACGGCTCCATCGGCAGCGAGGACCTGAACGGGGCGTGGTGGCAGCTGCGGGAGGCCCTGCAGGGAGTGGCACCCCCCGACGGTGCCAGGGGGGAGGAGTTCTTCGACCCCGGGGCCAAGTACCACGTACCGGCGAATGTGCCTTATATCAGGTGGGTGGCGGTTGTTTTGGCTTTCGGGTTGTTAGTCTTGAATGTATCTTATATTAGGTGGGTGGCGGGTGCGTTCCGGGTATCGCGGGGTTTGTTTTTGTTTGTTGTTCTTCGGGTTGTTTTGTTTTCGGGATTGTTATTCTTCTTCGGGTTGTTGTTATTTCTTCTTCGGGTTGTTATTCTTCTTCGGTTGGGTTATTCTTCTTCGGGTTTATTCTTCTTCGGTTGTTATTCTTCTTCGGGTTGTTATTCTTCTTGTTATTCTTCTTCGGTTGTATTTTCGGGTCGTTATTCTTCTTCGCGTTGTTTCTTCTTCGGGTTGTTTTTTTTTTCTTCTCGGGTGTTGTTCTTCTTCGGTTGTTTATTCTTCTTCGGGTTTTTATATTATTCGGGTTGTTATTCTTCTTCGGTTGTTATTCTTCTTCGCGTTGTTATTCTTCTTCGGGTTGTTATTCTTCTTCGGGTTGTTATTCTTCTTCGGGTTGTTATTCTTCTTCGGGTTGTTATTCTTCTTCGGGATTTTATTCTTCTTCGGGTTTATTCTTCTTCGGGTCTTCATTCTTCTTCGGGTTGTTATTCTTCTTCGGGTTGTTATTTTCTTCTTCGGGTTATATTCTTCTTCGGGTTGTTATTCTTCTTCGGGTTGTTATTCTTCGGGTTGTTATTCTTCTTCGGGTTGTTATTCTTCTTCGGGTTGTTATTCTCTTCGGGTTGTTCTTCTTCTTAGGGTTGTTATTCTTCTTCGGTGTTTTCTAATCGGGTCTATCTTCGGGTTCGTTATTCTTCTTCGGTTTTGTTATCTCTTTGGGTTGTTATTCTTCTTCGGGTTGTTATTCTTCTTCGGCGTTGTTATTCTTACTTACGGGTTGTTATTCTTCTTCGGGTTTAATTCTTCTTCGGGTTGTTTATTCTTCTTCGGGTTGTTATATTCTTCTTCGGGTTGTTATTCTTCTTCGGGATTGTTATTCTTCTTCGTTGGTTATTCTTCTTCGGGGTTGTTTTTATTCTTCTTCCGGGGTTGTTAGTCTTTTTCCGGGTTGTTTTCTTCTTCGGGTTGTTTATTCTTCTTCGGGTCGTTATTCTTCTTCGGGGTTGATTATTCTTCTTCGGTTCTTCGGGTTGGTTTATTCTTCTTCGGTGTTGTTTATTTCTTCTTCGGTTGTTATTCTGCTTCGGCCGTTTGTTATTCTTCTTCGGGTTGTTATTCTTCTTCGGTTGTTATTCTTCTTTGGGCTTGTATTAGTTCTTCTTCAGGGTTGTTTATTCTTCTTCAGGGTCGTTATTCTTCTTCGGGTTTGTTACATACTCTTCTTCGGGTTTGTCTGTCCTTCTTCGGTTGTTATTCTTCTTCGGTTGTTTACTCTTCCTTCGGGTTGTTATTCCTTCTTCGGGTCGTTTATTCCTTTCTTCCGGGTCGTTATTCTTCTTCAGGGTTAGTTATTCTGCATTCGGTTGTTATTACTTTCTTGCGGGTTCGTTATCTTCTTTACGGGTCCGTTATCTTCTTCGGATTGTTATTCTTCTTCGGGTATGTTGTTCTTACTTCGGGTTGTTATTTCTTCTTCGGAGTCGTTATTCTTCTTGGGTTGTTATTCTTCTTCGGATATGTTATTCTTCTTCGAGTTGTTGTTCTTCTTCGGTTGTTATTCTCTTCGGGTCGTTATTCTTCTTCGGGTCGTTATTCTTCTTCGGATTGTTAATTTTACTTCGGGTTTGTTGTTCTTACTTCCGGGTTGTTATTCTTCTTCGGGTCGTTATTCTTCTTCGGGTTGTTATTCTTTCTTTCGAGTTGGTTATTCTTACGTTCGGTTGTTATTCTTCTTCGGGTCGTTATTACTTCTTACGGCGTCGGTTATTCTTCTTCGGAGTCGTTATTCTTTCTTCGGATTGGTTATTCTTTCTCGGGTTGGTTGTTCTTCTTCGGGTTGTTTATTCTTCTTCGGGTCGTTATTCCTTCTTCGAGATTGTTATTCTTCTATCGGGTTGTTGTTCTTTCTTCGGGTTCGTTTTATTTCTTCTTCGGGTCGTTATTCTTCTCTTCGGATTGTTATTCTTCTTCGGGTATGTTGTTCTTTCCTTCGGTTGTATTTATTCTTCTTCGGAGTCGTTATTCTTCTTCGGGTTGTTATTCTTCTTCGGGTTTGTTATTCATTCTTCGGGTTAGTTAATTTCTTCGGGTCGTTTATTCTCTTGGGTTGTTATTCTTCTTCGGTTGTTGTTCTTCTTTCGGGTTGTTAATTCTTCTTCGGTCGTTATTCTTCTTCGGTCGTTAATTTTCTTCGGGTCGTTATTCCTTCTTTCGAGGTTGTTATTCTTCTTCGGGTCGTTATTTCTTCTTGTTTATTCTTCTGGGTTGTTATTCTTCTTCGGGGTTGTTATTCTTCTTCGGGTTGTTTATTCTTCTTCGGGTCGTTATTCTTCTATCGGGTTGTTATTCTTCTTTCCGGAGTTGTATTCTTCTTCGGGTTCTTAATTCTTCTTCCGGTCAGTTATTCTTCTTCGGGTTGTTTATTCTTGCTTTTCGGGTTGTTATTCTTCTTCGGGTGTTATTCTTCTTCGGGTCCGTTATCTCTTCTTACGGATTGTTTATTCTTCTTCGGGTTGTTTTTTCTTCTTCAGGGTCGTTATTCTTCTTCGGGTCGTTATTCTTCTTCGGGTTTGTTATTCTTCTTCGGGTTGTTATTCTTCTTCCGGGTTGTTATTCTTCTTCGGGATTGTTTAATCCTTTCTTCGGGGTTGTTATTCTTCTTCGGGTTGTTATTCATTCTTTGGGTTGTTATTCTTCTTTGGGGTGTATTCTTCTTCGGTTGTTATTCTTCTTCCGGGTTTTGTTATTCTTCTTCGGGTTGTTATTCTTCTTCGGGTTGTTTTATTCTTCTTCAGGGTCGTTATGTCTTTTCTTCGGGTTGTTATTCTTCTTTGGGTCCGTTATTGCTTCCTTCCGGGTTGTTATTCTTATTCTTCGGGTTGTTATTTTCTTTCTTCTTCGGGTTGTTATTTCTTCCTTCTCGGAATTGTTAATTCTTCTTCGGGTGTTATTTTCTTCTTCGGGTTGTTATTCTTCCTTACGGGTTGTTATTACTTCTTCGGGTTGTTATTCTTCTTCGGGTTGTTATTCTTCTTCGGAGTTGTTATTCTTCGGGTTCTTCTTCGGGTCGTTATTCTTCTTTCAGGGTCGTTAGTCTTACTTCGGATTGTTATTCTTCTTCGGGTTGTTTATTCTTTCTTCTTCGGTTGTTATTCTTCTTTGGGTTATTCTTCCTTCGGGTCGTTATTCTTCTTCGGGTTTGTTATCTTCTTCGGGTTGTTATTCTTCTTCGGGTTGTTATTCTTCTTCGCGTTGTTATTCTTCTTCGGGGTTTGTTCTTCTTCTTGTTATCTTTGGTTGTTATTCTTACTTCGGTTTATTCTTCTTCGGGTTGTAATTCTTCTTCGGGTTGTTATTCTTCTTCGGGATGTTTTGGCTTTCGGGTTGTTATTGTCTTCGGATTATTCTTCTTCGGGTTTTGGTTTCGGGTTGTATTCTTCTTCGGTTGTTATTCTTCTTTTGGTTTGGGTATGTTATTTTCTTCGGGTTGTGATTCTTCTTCAGGTTGTTATTGTCTTTGTGTTGTTATTCTTCTTCGGGTTGTTATTCTTCTTCGGGTTGTTATTGTCTTCGGGTTGTTATTCTTTCTTGGTTTTATTGTCTTTGTGTTGTTATTCTTCTTCGGGTTTTATTGTCTCGGTTGTTATTCTTCTTCGGTCGTATTCTTCTTCGGGTTGTTATTCTTCTTTGCTTTCGGTTGTTATTCTTTCTTTGTTATTGTCTTCGTTGTTGTTATCTCTTCGGGTTGTTATTTCTTTGTGGTTGTTATTCTTCTTCGGGTTGTTGTCTTCGGTTGTTTATCATTCTTCGGGTTGTTTCTCTTCGGGTGTTATCGTTGTATTCTTCTTCGGGTTGTTATTCTTCTTCGGGTTGTTATTCTTCTTCGGGTTGTTTTGGCTTTCGGGTTGTTATTCTTCTTCGGGTTGTTATTCTTCTTCGGGTTTGTTATTCTTCTTCGGGTTGTTATTCTTCTTCGGGTTGTTAATTCTTCTTCGGGTTGTCTTCTTGGTGTTATTCTTCGCGGTCGTTTTGGCTTTCGTGTATTCTTTCTTCGGTTTGTTGTTCTTCTTCGGGTTGTTATTCTTCTTCGGGTTGTTATTCTTCTTCGGGTTGTTATTCTTCTTCGGGTTGTTATTCTTCTTCGGTTTATTCTTTGTTAGTTGTTTTCGGTTGTTATTCTTCTTTTGTTGTTATTCTTCTTCGGGTTGTTCTTTCGGGTTGTTTTTCTTTTTGTTGTTATCTTCTGCGGGTCTTCGGGTTGTTATTCTTCCTTGTTCTTCTTCGTGTTGGGTTGTTCTTTCTTCGGTTATTCTTCTTCGGGTTGTATTCTTCTCGGGTTTTATTCTCTTCGGGTTGTTATCTTCTTCGGGTTGATTCTTCTTCGGGTTGTTATTCTTCTTCGGGTTGTTATTTGTCTTTCGGTGTTATTCTTCTTCGGGTGGTTATGTCTTCGGTTGTTATTCTTCTTTCGCAGATTGTATTCGGTTTTATCTTCTTCGGTTGTATTCTTCTTGGGTTGTTATTCTTCTCGGTTTTTATTCTTCTTCGGGTTGTTATTGTCTTGTGTTTTATTGTCTTCGGGTTTATTGTCTTTCGGGTTGTTATTCTTCTTCGGGTTNAGAGAGAGAGAGAGAGAGAGAGAGAGAATATGTTACTTTAACCAATGAAATATACACGTAGACTAGTCCTTAGAAGGGAAAATTACGTGTTTTTTTATATATGTGAAATATCGAAAAAATAAATAATGGAATACAAAACAGGAAATATAAAAAATAGAGCTAAGATCTTTGAGGCAAAAATCTACAAAGGTCCAAATAGGAATTGAAATATAGCAATGGGAATGAAAAAAAGTAAAAAAAAAAAAAGAAAAAAAAGGTAAAGAACAAATTGGAATACAAGAAATAGAGATAGG